CTGAACCGCCCCTCCCTCATTCTCACCCCTATGTCCCTCTCGTCTCTGTCTGTCTCCACAGGCTGCCTCTGCACCGTCGGCGTCCTGACCTACGGGCTGATCAGTTTCAAGAAGGGCAACATCCGTCGGTCCCAGCTGATGATGCGGGCGCGTATCCTGGCGCAGGGCTTCACCTTCGCAGCCCTCCTGGGAGGCATGGTGGTCACAGCCCTCAAGTCTAGGAAGTGAAATGATGCAAGAAAGAAGCTGCAGCTGCAGACCAGTGCCCACCAGCCCATATCCCAGCTGGCAGGGTGGATTCTGGCTGCAGATGGAGTTTTCTGAGACACACTTGTGATGTCTGAGTGGAGCTGGTGTTAGAGGGAGAGGCTTTGTATTCCAGAGTGCTGAAAATGCAGCTAATACATCTGTGTGGTTAACCTGAAATCTGGGCCCTGGTGTTTTTTGATTCCCTGAGAGGTTATCCTCCTGCAACACCGGAGGCTGTCCCTCACTAAGGCTTTCCACTTGTCAGACTTCTTGTTCCTCCTTGGTGTGTCACAGGTCACAGTCTGTTAAAATTGTGTCCTGACAGTCATGGTCTGCACTGAGATGTGGCCTCAGTCAGATGGTGCACCAGCACTTGTGGAATGAGCTGCCCATGTAGGAGGTAACAGCTCTGTTTATGGCTCGATCCTGGCAGGACAGAGTTCATAAGCAGAGGGTGAGTTGTTTGTGGAGAATATGTAATATGTTTGGTTGCAACTAGTGAGTAATAAAGTGAATTGCAGCGAGATTCTGACTGATACTGGATTGCAGAGCATTGAGAAACTGGCAGAGTGAACCATGTAGGAAGGAAAGGGAGCAGGCACAGCTGCCTCAAGGTTGTGCTGATGAAAGCAGGACACAAGAGATGTGATTTCCTGTGAAAACAGCTTGGGAACTCACATTCCTAACACGGGGCCTGCCTGTGTTCTCTGAGACACACGGCTGCTTCAGCTGCTGTTACTGGGACAAGTTCCTGCACAGCTCCCTGCTTCTGCAGAGCTGGAACCAGCTGCTGAACAAGTGCCCTGTTCCCAGTGGGAGCTGCACTCCCTGTGTTGTGACAAAACACCAGCTCCAAATCCCGCTGTTGGATCTTTTGAATGATACAAGGGGTGTTAGGTGGGCCACAGAGCTTTGCTCCTGTGTGTCAGGGTCACAGAGCAGGGAGGAAATGGAGCTGCTAGGTCTGTCAGCCTGTCTGGACAAGCAGCAGCTTGCAGCTCCCTGTGGGCACAGGAGAGCAGAGCAACTCCCCTGCAGTTCCACTGCCTCTGCCCAGCCTAGTGCAAACCTTCTGGTCCTTCCTCTTGCTCCTGTTTTTGATCCTGTAGGATGTGGTTCTCCTGCAGCCCCCTCCTTTCCAGTTGGTAGCTGTGGGTTCTCCCAGACACAAACGTGTGTGTCTCTGCAGCCGAAAGATGACAGTGCCCTGAAGGGTTGGAGATGTCTGTTTATTGTAACAGGTACTTTGAACAGTGACAGGTACCAAAGCCAAGGGGATGTAGAACAGCTGTGGGCACGGCTCCCCGGGAGCTGCCCCTGCCTGACACAGGGTGCACAGCAGCTGGGGGGACCCAGGGACCCAGCTGCAAGCAGAGGCTGGGAGGACAGAGCAGGGGAGGCCTCCCTGCCCCCAGGAAGCAGCCAGGGGCTCTTTCTGCTGCTCTGCAATGAAAGACAGAGACAGGCAGCACAGTCCCAAGGTATCCCACATTGGCATCCATCCCATGCTGCAGCAGAGCTGCCTACACATACTGGAGCACATGGGGACAGAGAGGAGCAATCAGCCCTATGGACAAGGACAATCCCAACACCGAGTGACTCCCTACACACCTATTTTCCCTTTCCACCCCAGAGCGAGGGGTGCCCAGTCACCCCAAGAGGCTGCAGCTGCAGGGCAGGTGACCTTCCTGACCTGTAGAGCTGTACCTGCAGGGCAGGAGAGCTCTGCATCATCAGCTGAGCAGGGCTCTGCTGTGGGGCCAGGACAAACGTTCTGTGGCCTTTGCTCCCTGTCCCCCAGCCTGCTGCTGCAAGCGCTTCCCAAGCCCACGGTGGGCTGCAGCTGGGGCACAAAGCTCAAGGCTGGTACATGCTGGCCCACCCCTCTCTGCCACCTGGGAGTTTTGCGGGTCTCCAGGGCTGGGCCTCCAAACTGGGGGGGCTGATGCTGGCTCCACCAAGCAGAGGAAAGCTGGTGCTCTGGTTGGAAAGTGTGTGCGTTGCAGGGTTGGGGAGTGGGCCTGGGGCATCTCCCCAGCCTGCCTTAGGTGTGCAAATCCAGCGGGGGGCAGAGAGAAGCCACAGAGCAACTGCAGACAGATGTGCAGGTTGTTCAGGGACTGCACAAGTCCCAGCACCAGAACTGCCCAATCTGCTCTAGGCCCCTGTGTCAGGAAGCTGGGGGCTCAACTTGTCCCACAGCAGCTGAACCTTCCTATCTGCTTCCCTGCAACCACACAGCCTCCATCTCTCCTCTTAGTAGCAGGGGAAGGACCAGAGCAGAACCAAGCACCTCTGAAGCTTGTTGCCCCACAGTCTCAACTGCTGATTGCCTTGTGAAGGGACAGAAAACATCCTGCACACTCACCTTGTGGCCCTTTCCCACTGCCCTGCACAAAAGTGTTGCCAAGCACTGGTAGCCCCATAAGACAGATAGGACACAGACACTGCAACTGCCACTCAGAGTCCCACCAGCTTTTTGGGGTGCACAGCTAGGCTGGGGACAGTTCTACTAGGCTTGGGGCAGCTGCTAGCAGTGCTGGCCCAGCCTGGTACCTGAACTCACATTCCTTACTCCCCACTATCCCAGCAGCACCATGCTGTGGTCATGCTCCCTGCAGGACCCAGCAGTGCAGAGCTGAGTCAGGGCTGTTCCTCCACCCTCCCAGCCCCACAGCCAGCTCTGCTCTAAACCCCACCAGAAAGGCAGATCAGAGCCTGGGGTCCCACTAGGATCCCTGCCCTGGAGCTAGGACATAGGGCTGCCTTGCCTGCAGCTGCCCAGCACCAGAAGAGCTGCAGGCAGGTTTATTCCTAGCACAAGGGTGAGGTGGGGAACAGCCAGTGGGGTGTTCCCCCTCTCATTTAGCCAGGCCCTTGGGCAGGACCCACCCCACAGAGCCCAGGCCAGGTGCTCCCTCTGCTAACTCACCTCTGCCACCCACTGTCACCTACCGGGGAAATGCCACAGTAATAAATAAGTGTAAAAAGAGACCGATGAACCTTTTAAGCAAAGGAAAACCATGGGGAGAGTTACAACCAGTGACTGGAGCACAGCCAGAGGAAGGTGCAGGTAGGGTGAGGGCCCTCTGGGTTGGCCACAGGAAGCCACCCAGCTGGGAGAGCCTGGCCCTGCCCTGCTCCTGGCAATGCCAGCCAGCAGCTAGCGGGACAGGGGTGTCTGTTTGAGGGAGATGAGCACCGAGCGCATCCGCGAGACATCCTTGCTCTGCTTGCTGCTCTTGGGGTTGAAATCACAGAGCTGGGCCACCTTCTCCCACTCAGAGCCTGGGGTTTCCTCCTTGGACTCCTTCAGGAATGCTTCCTCCGAGGCCCTGGGGAGAAGTTGAGGGTTGTCACTGGCTGAACCCTTTCCATGGAAAAACTCCCCTCTGTCTGGGAACCCCTGATGTCTCCGCCTCCTGTGCCCCTGCTCCAGCCGATGAGCTCAGCATTCTCCAGAATCCAGAGACAATGATGCTCAAGGCTGCTGTTGGCTGCACTCACTCAACATACAGTTCATCCAGGGGCAACAGGGCTGTCTGCCTGCTCCCAAGACTTCTCCTTCCCCAGAGCTGACACCCAAAAGGCACAAGACCCTCCCATGGGTTTGCCTATTCAACCAGCCCCCAGAGAGGCATTTCCAGGAGCTCCAATTGCCTCTACTGCTTGGCGACCCTCAGCTGCAGCATCCCCCCTCCGCGACCTCACCAGAGCCCTGTCCCTCCCATCATCCCCCCTCCCCATGGCTGGGCAGCCAGCACTGGGGCCAGGACCCCCAGACCCTGCAGGGCAGGTACGGTCTGTAAGAGGCACATACACATAGCCAATGACATCGGCGTCCGGCTGCTGGTAAAAGGCTTTGTCAGCGATCCTAGCCCCCGAGGCACAGACAGAGAGAGAGCGCAGAGCAGACAGGCAGGCAGAGGGTTAGAAAGAGAGAAACAGAGAGGGGTTAGCATCCTCCCACAGAGCCTGACCCACTCATCACAGCACACACGGCACCAGGAAAACCTGCCCACAACAGCAGGGCTTCACAGACAGCACCCCAGCCTTGCCCCAATGCAAGGCCCACACCAGGGGCACTGAAGCCCTAGGGCCTCTCCCCTTGCCTGGGAAAGCTCTGTCCCCGCAGGGCTGGGTCCCACTGAGGGACCAAGACTCCCAGACATCCCAGGAAGGCAGATA